ACCAAAGAAAAAAAATATAATAATAATAATAATAATAATAATAATAATAATAATAATAATAATAATAATAATAATAATAATAATAATAATAATAATTATAATAATAATAATAGTAATAAAATTCACAATTTAGGAACTTACGTCACACTTTGCCAGCTCGGCCATTGGCTGATAGCCGCCGTCTTGTTGGACCGCCGGGTAGTTATTAGGGTTACTGATCAGTCTCACAGTCTGTCTGTGAAACCAATCAATGTAACCCTCCTCAGGCTCTAGGAACTGATCCACCGGCTGATGTGGGAGGACGTACATTTTGATCTCTATGTTCTGCCCAAGTCTTCCCAAGCTCCGAATGAAAGGCGGCCCAATCAGTATATGCCCTCCCAGTCATTCTCTGGCCTCGGTGGAGTGTCTCCCATTGGGCCACATCCCTAGTGATCGGAGCTGGGGGGGATGGACTGGCGACATCCAAACTGACGGAGGACACTATCCAGCTCGTGGGGCTCACAGATGTTCCAACAGAAGATTGGCCCCTTGTACATCCAAACATGTTGATCTTCTGTACACTGGTCTAGGAGAGTAGACGAATCCTCGAGGAACTAGACATAAGGCATCCAATCGAACTGAAAAAAAGATAAAAAATTGAATTAAGAATTACTAAGAATTAAGTTAGCAAATATTTCAAATCAATAAAAAACAAAAGATAAGTCAATATATAAAACTTAAGAATCTTACATCTGTGTCTCTCAGCCATGTCAGCTGATCCCGGATAGCGGCCGTTCCCTTGGCAATTTGCGTCAAGTTCTTTTGGGATCACAGAAAAATAACTTTGTAATTAGAAAATTTAATAATGAAAAAACTTAATATTAAATATAAATAAATGTTCATACCTTGCTCCTAAGGGACAACCAGGTACAGAAGCAAAGCGCGTGGACTTCATTGTTGGACGAAGGCGAGGGATGCGTTCCCATGCCCAAACCTACACATATCGACCGACATATGCATTTTTTGTATTAGATATTAGTCAGAATAAAAAAAAAAAATGAAGTTTTCAATAACATCTAAAATAAATGTACCTGGAGCAATTGGACACAACCCTTAATCCAGCCTTGCCCAGCCTCGAAGGCTGTGCACAACGCTCTATACAATCCGGCGAGGACCGCTGAAGCCCAACTATACCCCTTGATTTGATCAAAGTCGCGCAGCATATCCAACCAGTACAAGTTGACTCCGTTCGCCCGCTGGTCGGGGAAGAAGAACGAGCCTATGCACCAGAGTATAAGGGCCCTCGCCCTTTGTTGCTAGACCTCGACGTCTTCTCCAACTGAGAGCTCTCGTTTGCATTCAGCCTCTAATGGGCCGACATTCAAGAATTGGCCTTTAATGGGCACAATGTTGGGCTCGTACGCCGGGTCATCTCTATCCTGTAATTGGTTTTTAAAAATAAAAAATAAAAAAACGAGCAAATTAGAGATAAAAAATAATAATTAAATATAATTAAATAGTTTCATATTTCTTAAAGATATTTAAGAAAGAAAATAATACATTTATGTATAAATTAAAATAGTTGAAATTTTAATAGACGAGAAATGGGTGTCACAATGCTATAAAATTTGTATTTTTTTATTGAATTCGAATAAAATATATGAAATTGTAAATACTATTTGAGATAGAATATATACCTGGACATTGGGGCGAAACCCTAGGAAGTCAACACACATGTCTCGTCATTGCTAGGGAGTCGTATCCGCAGTCCTTCCCCAACAAGCTTCTCCATTGGCCGGGAGGCCAAATAGGACTTGAACGTCCTGCAGCGTTATTGTGGCCTCCCCACAATCGAAGTGGAAGGTATGCGTCTCGGGACGCCACCTTTCCACGAGGCAGGTGATGAGGCTGTTGTCCGTTGTTACCCAGCCCATCCGAAACACCGGGCCAAAACCTGCCATGTCGATTTGCTCCCAAACTTTATCATGTTGCTTCTCCAATGTGGGCCATAACTCACTGTCGTTCCGGTGGTTTGTAATAATGCCGTTACGATAGCCTTGTACATCGTCATATACCGCCTTGGCCCGGTGGCGGGTATGAAGATACAGAAGCGACCCGTCAATCGGACCGGGTTGTATATTGTACCGGGGAGGCTGTGAGGACGACGAAGATGTCATTTTCTATTGTACGAAATTGACTT